AACTAGGTCTCGAAGAATTCCATAATGATGTATTGTTGAATGCATTTTCATTTAGAAGAAAAATTTTGTTGAGAAGAATTAGTTTCACCAGGAACCGGTCATGAAGTGGAGTGGAGAATGTTGGATTGTGCAAAGAGCTTACATTCAACTGACTCCGATGACCTCAAGTCTTAACTCAAGGATTTTTACTCCAAAGCCATGCCCATTTGGTTTATGGTAAAACCAATTCACGAATGTCTTCCAATCAACTGTACCTTCTAAATGAAAAGTCGAGTCACAAAAAAACACTTCGAAATTCTGCTAAGAAATATAAAAGCAAAAATCCATTCATTCACACGCAAACATACATACATACATAAATACATAAATACATACATGCATACATACATACATACATATATAAATACATATATACACACATCTACACATACCTCGACCTATCTATGTCTGTATATTTTCGTTTACTACTTATGAGTATATATAAGTAGTAAAATAGAGCCCGACAGTCTCCTTTGGCTAGTGTTAATTTGAGACTTTTTACAAAAATGACTTAAAGCTCTGATGACTCCTATCATATGGTGAACGAGAGCATAGCCAGTTTCATCCTAAACGAGGGAAAATGTCTCGTGGACTGCGAAAACTTGAACATCGTATTAAAGCCAAAGAGATGCAGGACAACAGGAATCGGCCGTCTTCTTCCAGTGAGATCAACCGACCAATCTGGTTTCAATGCTATTTCACACAAAATGAAAGTCTCCACAATAATGAATGTGACTAACTTTTTTTGAAGAAAGTGTATTCCGAAATTATTAGTAATTCGAAACTAGAACTTAGCCAATTTACACCCGCGACCAGGTTTTGAATCCCGTCGAGGATGTTGGCAAGACGATGAGGCAAGGTCTAAACTGCAGTCTATGTCAGCCTGAATGAGAAACCATTTTGGTAGACAGGGCTAAGCGAATTTTATTGACATCATGAAGCCTACTAACTGCTTTGTGGAAGATTTGTCCCCATAAGTTCTTAAATCATCTTAAACTTTTACGGTTGCCAAGTTATTATTGAGCTACTTTGGTTGATATGCGAAGAAAAGTTGGGTTTCGTGGAATCTCTTGTTTCATAATTGTTTAGCTTACTTTCATTTTGAGTAAAAGTACTTGTCGATTCCACCAGAAGACAACGACGGATTCCTCTTGACCAGCTGTCGATTGGCTTTAATGGAACATTCATACTGGCGATGTTTCCAAGGCAATCTCCTTCGATTCCGGTGAAAAGGTGCTAAGCTTTCGCCCGTCATGTAATGGACATCATCAGAGCAAGGTATCATCGTCACAACCAAACTCAAGCTAACGATTCAAGATTCGCCGGTGAGTTTTCTTGACTCTTTAGCTTAAATTTTGTTGTGACGGACGAAAGTTTCGCCGGACCAAAGTTTTGCACCTTTTCACCAGAATCGAAAGAGATTGCCTCGGAAACCGCGTCACCATGAGTGTTGCAGTATAGCCAATCAGCAACTGATCAAGAGGAATCCGCCGTCGTCTTCTGGTGCAATCGACCTACGAATCTCTTTACCAAATACTTTCGTTGAAACTAAGACGAATTTACCAAATCGTCCTCTCTATTTGCTCTATTTCATTTTATTGTTATGGTGCTTATCTGTAGATTGTAAGAATAGATCGTTTCATCTTATCATCCGTGTTAGCCTAGCCCTGCCTAATAACAATTTTACTCATCCAGGCTTGAGTAGTAACTAGCACATACTTCTAGATTTATATACTACTTGAACTAACGAAGTCACCTAATTCCTCATCAAAATGCTAACATTTTTGGCATATAAGAAGGATTCGGTGTATTGGCTTGACTCAACTTGAATACAGTTGCAAGAGTGATTATCTACTCTGATGATGTACATTGTATGACGGACGAAGGCTTTGTACATTTACGCCGGAATCAAGGAGGAGTACCTCGAGGACAGCTTCAGCAAGAATGCTCCACAGTCGTCTACTGGTAGGGCCGGTCTTTGAATCTCTTCATCACACGTTTCAGTTTGAAGTGGAAGTGAGCTTAACAATTACTGGTTGCTCCAAGTACAAGTAAACATTCTTCTTGTGTCATATCAACCCTTCGGTGGAAATGTGAACGCAAAAGAGCCTTTTCTGTCCCTCTTAAATGCTGGTTTCCGCGGCAATCTGCGACCTGAAGTAGTATCGAGTCGACCTAACATAACATGTCGCCAAGACGTGCCAAGCTTCATGTTTTCGACGACATGACCTTTTGTTTGTCGGCCAGAAAGCACTGACTTCGAGTCCCCTCCGCAACTTTTTCTGTTGGTATCCGGTCTCTGCAGATTCCCTAAGTGACAACAGCCAGCGGCGTCCGACCACAGGACCTCTGGCATTCCTTTGTTGTTTAGATCACGTTGTGGTGGGTGCGCGATAATGCATTGCCGTGAAATGATCGACCGTGGATGAAAACCGATTAGACGTCAACAGCACACCTTTTCAGGGTCCAGGACACGACACCTCGGCCTAGCTACAATCAGTTGCTGGTCCAGGCAACCCGTGTGCCCACTTTCCGGAGCTAGCACAAGTTTAGTGGTCATTTCGTGGGTAGTTGCCCTGCCCTCTTCCCCCGCATGTAGTTGGCCTTGGCCACCATTTGTTGACCTCCACTCTCGCAGAACTGCTGACCCTCAACATTTGGTGACATAACCCTGTTTATTCTGGATGGGGACACCTCCATCCGCCCTCTCGCCCTCCTCGAATTCGGCCATTCTTCTCATCTTCCTCCACTCCCTCCAGAGCCCAGTCTCCGCGACCACGAGCCTGCGCCATGTTTCACGCCGTCCCTTACACCCGCCTGACACTTGTCTTGCCTCATTTCATGGCTCCGTGCCGTGCCGTACCACACCAAACCTCGCGATTCATTACCCAAGAACCACGCCCCCGACTTTT